GTATTCCAGTTGATAAAGGGGATGACCTACCAAAGTTTGATTATTCAGATTTTCAATGTATAGTGTTTGATGAGATTTATATGTCCAGTCCTTACATATTGAACAAAATAAGGGTGTTTGCAAATAACAATCCTGACATCGTAATTATAGGTGCCGGTGATGTCAAGCAACTGCCACCGATTGAACCTTTCACTAATACTCAAAATGCAGGCGAATACATTGACAAATGTATTGACATTATTTTTGAATATAATATATTTTTAAAGATATGTAAGCGAGTAGGTGGTAAGGATACAGAAGAAGGAGAAAGAAACAGAAAGAAACTGAATGAAATCTATGATGACTTTTGGATTAAAAAGATGGCAGTTGAAGAATGGATAGTTAAGCATTTCAAATTTACTAAAGATGTTATGAATAGTGAAAACAACATAGCATATACAAATATTAGATGTGAGGCAGTATCCAATGAGATTAGAAAAAGATTAGGTAAAACATGCAAATATGAAATTGGAGAAATCTTAATATGCAGACTTTACAAAAAGGACAAGGAAGGAAAACTGAATGTTAATATTAGGTGGAAGGTTGTTAATAACGAAGGATACAAGATAACAATACAAGATATTAAGGATACAGAGAACATTAGAACACTTGACATTGATATTGTAGATAAGCATTTTAGATATGCCTACTGTGCTACCACTCATAGCAGACAGGGGACATCAATCAGTGATAATATGACCATTCACGAATGGAACAAAGATTATTTAGTTTGTAGGGAATGGTTGTGGACGAGTATCACACGAGCGAGGGATTTTAACAATGTCTATTTTTACAAGAACAAAGAGGGAGATGAAGATATGTTTAAGAGTTTGGTAATCAACTATTTTAAAAACAAAGTTGAAGGATATAAACAGCAAGATAGAGTAGCAAAAAGAGAAATAGACGAAGAGCAATACATTGACGAAAACTGGTGCTTAAAATACTTCAAATCCTGTTGCCAAAACTGCGGAATTAAATTTAATCTAGATACAAGAGGAGGAAAGATAAGTTCTAACTTCACTGCTCAACGTTGTGATAATGAGTTATGCCACACAGTTGAAAACTGCACCGCCTTTTGTGTCTATTGCAATTGCAGCGCGTCATGAATAATTTTGAAAATGAATTTTTCAAAATTATTTTATTAACTTAATTAATGAGTTCAACACAAGAAATTATCAAGAGTGTATATTATGATAGAAGCGGTTATGGTTCAAAACAAACAACCCTCAAGGATGCTAAGCAAAAAGATAGTAGTATTACAATTAACGATATTAATGAATTCTTTAGTAAGAATGTAGAAGAAAAAAGAAAGATGAGAGGTGAAAATAGTTTTATTGCTCCGCATAGTTTCTGGGAATTTCAAGTTGATATGTTTTTCATTTCTAAAAATGATTTGGAAAATCAAACATTTAGAATTGGAATGATATGCATTGATATATTTAGCAAATATATGCATATCGTGCCTATCAAGTCAAAGCAACCGCCAGACATTTTAGCAGGAATGATGGAGAATATCAATAAGATGGGTGGCAAACCGAAATTAATTTATACCGACGAGGAAGGCAGTTTTTTTAATCAATCAGTATTAGATTATTTGAAGGAGGAGAAAATTGAATTACATAGAACTAGAGGTCATCCAGCATTTGCGGAGCGTGGAATTCAGACTTTTAAAGATCAACTGTTTAAACGAGTTGAAGCGGACAAGAAAAATGGAAAGCAGAATATCCAATGGACGGATTATATTTTTGAAATATTATTAACTTACAATAATAAGAATATTCATTCCGCAACTAAATTTACACCGAAGGACGCAAGAATGAAAAAGAATGAATTCGAAGTAAAAATGAATATTACAATGCAAGCAAGAAATACTAGAAAATACCCTGAGTTGTCAGTGGGTAGTAATGTAAAAATAATGAGAAAGAAAGGCATAAGCGAAAAGGCACATACCAGTCATTGGTTAAAAGAAGTATTTAAAGTAAAATCAATTGATAGTAAATTAGGGCAATCTTACTTTCATTTGGAAGGAAAAACTAGTCCTTATTTGAGACACGAATTATTGAAAGTTTAATATTAAACGAAATACAGTTAAAGAAAAAACGCCTTATATTATTAGTGAAATGTTATTTAATTATTCAAATTGCGAATGTTGTACAACTAAAAGGAATGATGTTAATATAACATTGTATAAGTTATTACCTGCTAATCTATGTAATAAAATAAGTGAATATAATGTATACTGCAATCAATGCTGTATAACAAGAGACCTTGAAAAGTTTTTTCTTGAAGAACATAAGGACAAGGGATATACAAAGTTTCAATTACAGTTAAAATTCTTTATGCGACACCAAGCAAGATTTCCTATACACTTTTACCAGAAGATTTCCAGAAAGTCATATGAAAATGAAATTGATGAATTCTTTAGTAATATAGATTTAATTAGGAGGTTTGGAGGAATAAACGCAATTAAACCATACAAAGCATTTGTCAAAAAATACCGTTATTTGTTTGAATGGATTGACTGGCATTTATTAGACAAAGATAAAATAAACGAAGTCTTGAACGAATTTAGAGCAACTAAATATAGTATATGGTATTACTACAACACTAAATATAAAGTATGTCTATTGTTGTATTTATTCTTTTGGGAATATATTTATTCAATAATAGGAAAAAACAATATCAAATATATATACATTGGTGATATAGATAAATATGTAGATTACATATTTGAAGACATATTGCCTGACCATTATTTTAATCCATAAACCTTACAATAAAAAACATTGTAAGATTTATGATTTCAAAATGACTTGAAGAAATAATAACTTAATATATTATAGTAAAATGAGTGATACAGTCGGTATCAATGCTAAAAATATATTGAAAGACAAATTTATGAGTTATAAATGCGATGACTGTGAAATGCTCAAATTACCAATTGAACGGGGTTTTGCAAATGGTGTTTGTAATAATATTTGTCAATATATAATATGCAATAATTGCAATAGAATTATAAAAGCAATTGATGATATGAATAACAAGGATATTGATATTATAAATAATGAAACTATTGATGATGATTTAGAAATATTTGTATTTATTGAAATGAATAATTTCTTAACTATAGAAGGATTTGATAATTTATTAGAATGTAACGACGAAGGATATAATAATGATTTTATTTTTAAGTATTATAGTATTGTAAAACAATTATACAATATGTCTTTTAATATTAAACGTTTAAAATACGTTGTATTGTTTGATTTTTTAAATGAGTTTTTAAATGATGAGTATAAAACTCACGAACTTAGATATACAATAAAACGTGCGATTGGAATAATGGGAATGTTTAGAAAACAAATAAAAAATAATTTTTATAATGAAACAACATGTGACAAAATAATAGAAAGAATTAAATTAATAATTTAGTTTTAGGCGAAATAGTCCTAAAGAAAAAACACCTTATATTAATAGTGAAGAAATGAACGGTATTGAAATCAATAAGTATATTAATAAGAAATGCTACGACTGTTGCCACTTTAAAAAGGAAAATATGGAATTGTATAAATTAAATTTACCTAATGGAATAATAAATAATATTATTGATTATTCAATGGATGAAGAAGATTTATGTGAAAATTGTAAAACCTGGAGAGATAACCAAGCTATAATCAAATGTTTGTTGAGATTAAAAGGAAGACATAATAGAAATGTTGAAGATGACATTTTGATATTTTTAACTGTGTATAAATTACCACCTTACGTTTATGTTAAACAGTTTCTTAAAATCAGTAAGAACAAATATGAAATGATTTATGATATATTAAGGATGTTGTGTCATAGTCAAAAGAAAGGAGATGATATTAAAGAATATATCAAGTTTTATATTGAAATTTATAAAAAGTTTAATGTTAAAAACACAGTGAGAGATATTAATATTATTTTTAAAATGATGTATGAAATAAATGAGATTTGTCAATTAAATTATTATCCTGAACTTAAATTATAAATTACACCATAAACCTTACAATAAAAAAACATTGTAAGATTTATGTTTTGAAATTATGGGGATTTTGGGATTTGGGATTTTGGGAAAATATATTTTAGGAATTTGGGATTTTGGAAAAATATATTTTGGGAATTTGGGATTTTGGGAAAATATGTTTTGGGAATTTAGAAAAATATTTACAAAATTTATGTATCAAATCTTGAGTTGAGGTTCTGTTATGAAATGATGAAAAATATTATGTGAATTGGTCGGTTGAGGGGATTTTATATTTTGGGATTTTGGAAAAACATATTTTGGGAATTTGGGATTTTGGAAAAATATATTTTTGAAAATTTAGAAAAATATTTGTAAAATTTATGTATCAAATCTTGAGTTGAGGTTCTGTTATGAAATGATGAAAACATATTATGTGAATTGGTCGGTTGAGGGGATTTTATCCAACTGGGGCCTGGCCTTTGGTAGGTGCAACACCCCAAAGTAGCCCACTTCCCTCAAAGTTAGCACTGAACCTCAGCAGCATTTCTGGCAAACATCTTGCTACACATGGCTGTCACTTGCTGAGCGGCATGCCTTGCATGCGTCAGACTGAGCCGTTCTGGGCTTTGAGCCTCGGCATGCGCACTGTCAAGCATACCTTCGCAGCACAGCGGAAATGCCAAAACCAATAGAAGGGGGTTGTGAACCATATATTTCCAGAAAGCCTTGGCATCGTGGACGTGGGGCCCCTCAAAACTTGCTGGACCCTTTTCATGCTTCCCTTGCAACAAGGCAGTGAGTGAAGGGAAGGTTTCCGATCCATCCATTTTTTATTTTATTTTTTAATCAGCGCCGGCCCGCTCAGCATGGCAGCCAGACCTTTAAGTTGTGTTCCATGGGGTTTTCAGGGAGTTTGTCGCAGCTGGGCATTTTAACCCAACGCACCATGGAGCCAGAGGTTTTCATCCTGCCCATGGCATGGGTTTCGCTGCGCGGGCCATGGCTCCGAGGGCTGCTGGCAGTGTTCGTGGCGTCCCGAGCCTTTTGCTGGGCCTCCAGCCGTACGTCGCGCTCGCGCGAGCGCGCGCAGGGCGACCGTGCCAAGTCGGCGAAGAGGAGGCTGGCGAGGCCAAGAAGTGGCCCCCACAAAAGCGGCGTGGTGGCGGAAGCGCGGCGCTTGGCCCCCCCGGCCCCAAGCTTCGTGCCAGGGCTGGTGCGCCCCGGCGTGGTTCATGCGGATGATCTGGAGGCGGAGGCTTGGGCGAAATCGGCCTCACAAGCAGATTTCACGTGCACGGGGCGGGGGGGATGAAGCAAGAGGATCTTGGAACGCTGGTTCAATGCCGTAAGAGAATCCAAAGAATCTGGGACCCCTGCTGAGGACGCGCGTGCTACCCTCCCCTGACTTGAACACGTGCCGTCTGCTCTTGTTCGCCCCCAACCCAAGCCTCGACGGTCGCAAGGATGTCATGGTGGTGGATGAGGGCTCCGACTTTGAAGAGGTCGCGCGGTGGGTGAGGGCGGGGGGCCGAGCGTTGGTGGTCGGCCACTGGCGGGACCTGGAGCAGTGCCGGGCGGGCCTCCTCAAGCCCCTGCGAGAAGAGGCGGCGAACGCCCAGGAGAGACACGCCCATGGACCCAGGGTGTCAATTCAGGGGACTGCTTTGAACATGGCAAGGCCATGGCTCATTTGTTTCGTTCTTTTTACCGTTTTGTTTTTTCTTCTTTTTGCTCTTTCCCCGGGCTCAATGCCTGTCATCCGGCACAGGGCCTGCATTCGTTTGACCTGGCGCCTGAGTTCTTTCTCCAAATGGAATATGTCGCTTCCCACAGGACGCCACCCCATTTCCGGGGACCCGAGAGATCGTTTTGGTCCCGGACAGGAGGCAGAAGAGCACAGGGCCCAGAAGAAGCAGCTCTCGGACCGCTTGCTGGGCCCAGTGGGGCTCCAGGGCCAAATTGCGCTACAGGGAGCTCCACCGGCGGAGTTCCTGCAGTCACTGCGCCCCAGCCCGGAGAGTTCTGGAAGCTTTGGCCATTTTGTGTGGACTGCATGGCTGTCAGCTGTTTTGAGGGGCTTTGGAACATCGCAGCACTAGCCACCGCCTGTTTTGTGAGCATCCGTTTCTCCTTGCAGTTTGGAGGCAGTCGAGAGGAAACCAAAGGGATACCTGGAGGGCCCTTGCTCTTTTGCGCGTTCGCATGAAATCTGCGTGCGTTGCATCAAAGTGGGGCTGCATTGCCGAGGTACGGAGACTTGATTGAGGATGCCAAGCGCGAAGGCCGGGCTTCGGCCTTCGCTTTGCCTTCTGGTGTCTTGATGGGACTGGTGAATGCCTGGCAGTATTTCCAGGGCGGCGTGCGCTTTCCGTTCCTGAAGTCTCCGGTGCTTTCTGGACCAGTGAGGCCGTTCTACGGGGTCTATGCCTCGCCGCGTCCCTTGGCGCATTTCGACCTGTTGATCGAGTGGCTCCAGAACCGCAGCAGCCAGCCCAAGCGTGCCCTCGATTTGGGAACGGGCTGTGGCGTCGTGACTTTGATCTTGCAAAGGATCGCCTGCGTGGAGGAGGTGGTGGCGAGCGACATCAGCCCCAACGCGGTCTACGGAGCAACGGAGGAGTTCAAGCGTCACGGCCTCGGCGTGGAGGTGGTTTGCTCGGACCTCTTCTGCGAGCTAAAGGGCAGCTTCGACCTGGTGGTCTTCAATCCGCCCTGGCTGCCGCTACCCAAAGTGGACAATGAGCCTAGGACGGCGCTGGATGGCGGCAACTTCTATCCGGAGGATCTGTTCCGCCGCTTCTTCGACGGCCTGCCGGAGGCAGGGGTTACCTCAAAGAGGCACTGGCCACTGTCCAAGCCTATGCTGCGAGTTGTTGGATTTGGATCTATAGCTGGAATATAGCTACAATCCTTGTTCAACATTCGCTCTGAGGTCCTGACGCCCGGTGGACGGGCGCTGCTGCTGTTCTCCAACCACGCGGTGAGCAGAGGCTACGTGAAGGAGCATCCCTTCCGCGCGGCCTTGGCACGTAGCACGTCCAAGACGGCGCTGGCCGCCGACGTCGTCACGAGGGAGTTCAACAGCCAAGGGAGGCGCCGGCGAAGTGGACGCCCGCAAGCGGGCGAGATAGACGAGCCCTGTGCAGAACTCTGGGAGTTTCGACTCGTTTCCCAGGCTGGCCAAAAGAAGCGGCCATCGCACGATTCATGGGGACATGTGCGGACATTTGCAACACAATCGTCCCAACGAAGCAGACATGATCGTCCCAACGAAGCAGACATGGTGCTTGCGTGTCGTTTGGGGGAGTAGGCCAGGTGTCGACCGCTGAATCCGTGCCAAATGCTGCTGGCCCTCACGTTCTTTCTTGGATGTTTCAATTCAGGAAGCATGCTTGGATGATCATTTTGGGTGACGCACACTTTCTCCACTGTCACAGTTATTTCGGGCCCAGCAGTTTGTTGGCAAATGACAGTGCGGATGTGTGGGACGGTGCCAAAGCAAGCTTCCAGTTCTTCAAACAGAGCCAGCCACAGCAGTCGTTCAATCATATTGCAGTGTTTGTTTTGGCGCTTCCATTCTTTCCTAAGGATGTTTTGCGCGGCAGACGGGAACATGCCTGACCAAGAAACCATGGAACCGACCAATAGGGCTTTGGCTTTTGGTGTCCGTGCAAGCCAGAAAGTCTCTACCGGCTGCCTGGCTTGTTAGCTTCTTCCCTGCCCAGGCTTATTCTTCCCTGCCGGGTTGGCGGAGAAAAAACACTGGGCCAACACTAGGTTACGTGGGTGGGGCAGAAAGCGCAGTTTTTTGTCGCTCCTTTGGCGCAACAAAAGCGACTTGCCTTCCTTTTCGAGGCGAGCCTGCAGCTCCAGAACCGAGAGGCACGCCACCCAAGTAATGAGTCCTCCCCAGGAGGCAGCCCACCTGGGGTATGCAATAGGTGCATTTTGGAGGTGCACTTTTTGCCGTGGCCTCGTGTGGTGTTATTTTACCGCTTGTGCCCTTTTCGTATAGTTGTATTTTCCGAAATGTATTTCAGGGGAGGGGGGGGGTGAAACTTGTGCCTGGCCTACCCAAGCTTTTGCAGCATGGCACGAGGGTTTCGACTGGATGTTTATCGCAAGGAGGTAAGGAACCATCCCGTATGTTGACTTGTGATCAAGAACGCTCTTAACCATCCAATCCTGAGCATTCGGCATCCACATGGGTTGCCGTTTTTAATGCCAAGGCGCATTGCCCTACGACATGCCAGCTTTCTTACAGCACTTTGTACATTTCTTTTCTGGTAAGCCTTTGTTCTCGCATCCCGGAACCACAATATGCCACGCTTTGGCTCGTGGCCAGCTTCTTTTTGCAGAAGTTGCTCCTTGGCTTTGGCCAATGGGGAGGCTGATCCCTCCGTAACCTGCGTGAGGCTTGGGTGAAAATCCCCCCAAGCAGGTTGTTGCCACCCTCAGAGCCTTCACCGCCCTCACTGCGACCGCCAGGTCCCGGTCTCTGCGCTGATCCTGGGAACTGGGCCGTTTGGCTGCGGCTGGGCGGGCGAGGTGTCGGAAACCGAGGCGGAGGCCACAGTGCGGGAGGCGCGGGTGGGGGGTTTGGGCGTAGGGCATGGAGTGTAGGTTGGAAAGGTGGGAGTGGTTGGGTATTTCTTGGCATATTGGGCGGTGTTGGGTTAAACATCAGCACCTTGCTGATGATTTTGAATAAACTTCATTACAGGCATTTGAGACGGCTGTGCGGTGAGAAAGGATTCCTGCCCTGCTGGGCAACCAGGGTTATTTCGATTCGTCAAGTTCGCATGATTTCTGCGGAGATTTTCTAGTTGCCAGGTCGTAAGATTCAAAGTATGGTTGAGTTTCCGCAGAGGCAGGCGGGTGTTTGCTTTTAGGGACGGAATTGACGTCGCGCTTGGAGACCAAGTGTGCGCTTGTGCCACGGGAGCCATGAGGCGTTGGCACTGGGGATCCGCTATGCGGATACGGCGCCCTGGCCACTTGGCATGCACAGGCCATGGTTTGGCTTTCGTGCAGGGCATGGCTTTGTTCAGTCAACTCGGCAAGTCAGTAGTGTGTTGTTTTTGGTGGGGTGGGTGGGGGGGGGCGGGCCTATTTTATTTCACGCACACCAGGCGTGGGGGTCAGTGCATCGTCTGTACACGCGGAATTCGGATCGTCTGTACACGCGGGACCGGATCGTCTCTGCACGCGGGCCTTTTTTGCCCCGGATCGTTTGTACACGCAGTGCTTACTGCTATGCACAAGAAGGGACAGGGGCGTTGACAGCTGCATGTTTCCTTGCCTTTCTGTCGTATGAACATAGGAAATGTTGTGTTCCGTTGTCTCCTGTGCGGTTTACCTCCGTCAGCCGCTCTCAGGGCGGGCGCGCGTGAGCGGCTGTGCCCCACCCCACCCCAACCCCCCCACCCCCGCCCACCCCTCCCCAAGACCCCACCCCGTCTGTTGCGCGCGAGCGGGTGTGCGCTAGGTAGCAGGCATGCACGCAGTGCTGGGCGGGTGCACGTGAGCGGGTGCGCTTTTTAGGTGGGAGGCGTGAATGCAGTGCTGCGCGAGCGCGCGTGAGCAGGTGCCCCACCCCGGACCCAACCCCCACCCCCACCCCCACCCCCACCCCACCCCCCCTCCCCAATACCCCACCCCATCTGTTACGCGTGAGCGGGTGCGCTTGCTAGGTGGCAGGCATGTGCGCAGTGCTGGGCGGGCGTGTGTGAGCGGGTGTGCCCCACCCCACCCCAACCTCCCCAAAGCCTGACCCCAGCCCAGCCCACCCTGAGCAGGCGCTCATTAAGGCGGCAGGCATGTGTTGCACGTGAGTGGGCGTGCTTATCAGGTGGCAGGCATGCGTGCAGCGCTGGGCGGGCGCGCGTGAGCGGGTGTGCTTATTAGGTGGTAAGCGTGGATGCAGCGCTAGGCGGACGCGCGTGAGCGGGTGTGCCCCACCCCGCCCCGCCCCAGCCCCCACCCCCACCCCACCCTTCCCCAATACCGCACCCCATCTGTTGCACGTGAGCGGGTATGCTTATTAGGTGGCAGGCATGTGCTTACCATTCCCCAATGTCAGAGGTGATTTAAGGATCATCCTCTCCGTCTGATGTGGCATTCTCAACCGGGGTGAGGGGGGAATGGTAAGCACACCCGCTCAAGTGCACCCGCTCAGCGCTGTTTCCACGCATGCGGAAGAGTAGCCCGAAGGGGTGGGGGTGGGTGGGGAGGCGCCCAATACAACAGAAGTTCGAAGGCTTTCAACGAGACTTTGGAGCGGTCTAGATGCACGAGATCGCCTGATCGAGGATGAGGACCCCCCCACCACCCCCCCCCCCCCCCCACAGTGCTGAGCGGGCGCACTTGAGCGGGTGTGCTTACCAATCCCCCCCCCCCCCCCCCCACCCTGCCAAAAGTGTGTGTGTGTACAGATGAGCCAGATGACAGAAACCTTGTGTGCGCAGATGATCCAGAGTGCATGGCGCAATAAGTGAGGAAAGCCTGTGTGTACAGATGATCCAGATTTGTGTGCGCAGATGATCCCCTGCCCGGCGTGGGTCACAGCAAGCTTTGGCCGGGCCAGCTCACCCCTGACTTGAGGGTTCCTCTGTCTAGCTTGCTGCATGATGTTCCTTACATAGCTTGCTTGAAGGTTCCTTATTTTAGCGTATGAAGGTGACGATTTTGCAGTGCTCGAATTCTGCGTGGAAATGTAGATCTCCAAATGCGGTTCCCCATCGCTTTGGTCAAAGGAACGCCCTGCACCAGCAACCCATGCAAAATGCATACTTTGCTCGCCCCAGTCTTGACCGGCTGTTCAGGGGTTTCTGGGTTCCCAACGAAAATGAGAGATCCGATGATCCAAGGGTTCCCTTTTCGCCTCCTGCACTTGTTTCTAGAGGGCGGGGTTGCAACTTGGCACGTGCATCGGCGATTTTCGGGAATTCATGGCCAGAGAAGTGTCCCAGGCGACGCTATGGCAAAGAGCTTTACCCTCAAGATGCCTTTCCCAAATTTTATTTCTAGAATTTGCACATTGGCATGTCTCAGGTACCCTCTGTTTGGTGGTTTGGATCCTGTAGAGGATAGCTGGGAGGCCACCCCCCAAACCACCAAAACCACCAAAACCACCAAAACCACCAAAACCACTACCAAAACCACCAAAACCACCAAAACCGCCAATCCACCAAAACCACCAAAACCACCAAAACCGCCAAAATCACCAATCCACCAATCCACCAATTGGAAGGAAGCTGAGTCCTTTGGGCGTCTCTTCCCCGCGAGGTACGGCGGCGGGCTGTCCGAGCAGCGCCTGGGCCGAGCGCTGGCTGCTGAAGGCAGTCGGCCAAAAGGGGCAGTTCTGGGGGCCAGGCCTGGGGCTGGGGTCGAGGCGGGGTGGGAATGAGGGGTTCAAAACATGTGGGAAGGAGTCGGAGAAAAAAGCACCTCAACAAAAGGCAGGTTTGAGTCCTTTCTCATTCACCAGGGATCCAGTTTGGGTTCCATGTTTGCCCCCTTGTGGTCTCCCAGAGCTTGCGGGTTGGGACTCGGGATCGGGACCCTGGCATTTTGAAGCCTCATTGGTGGTTTTGAAGGGACGTTCATCAAGTTGAGAATCACGCACGTGCGGCAATCCTGGGTTTTGGGGGCGGCTGTGGCGGTTCTGCTTTGGGATACTCACAAAGTAGGGTTGCTTTGAAGGGAATCCCATGTGGAACCACTCCTGGGGGGTCTCACAAACAGGCCCACATGGGCGCCTCGATGCCTGGCGACCGCCATTGGCAATTTTTCAGGAGGCGGTCCCACCACTTGGTTGAAAATGGATTGAACAATCCCTACACACATCTGTAGCGCGCATGTTAGTAAGACCAGAAGTGAATAGGTTTCGGGTGCTGCTCCTATCGAGTTGTAGGGGTGGCCATGTTTGATATTCGTAGCGTCTTGGACGGTGACTGGAAGAAGTGTGTTGTTTTCCTTGTTGGGAGGGGGGCGGGTGAATTACGTACCCGTTTGCGCGCGGTCTACATCGTTAATTTGAGGGTGGGCTTTTGGCGACTTTTCGGCGGGGAGGCCCTGGGGCTTTGGACTCGCGCAAGTTGGCCGGATGGGTAAGGGCCAGGGGTTCATCAGTCTTGGCCCGGGGGCAGCGATTTGTTGCCGCTTCATGTCCAAAAGCTTTCCGTCGGTTGATTTCAAGAAGAGTCTTCTGTTCGCCGGCCGCGAAAAAGGCCGATCCTTTCTCGCCGATGTCGCAGTGCCCCGCAGGCGCCAAGGACGGGCTGCGAATTTTGTCGGCGATGGAGTTTTTCCGTGGGGGTACCTGTGGGTCGCTGCCCAGAGCCGTGCTGATGGCCCCTGGTCTGTAAGTTGCTCATTCGAGTCGTTAGAGGTCCTGGCGCAAGGCACTTTGACTGCCACCTACCCTTGAAGAGGGGGGTCCAGGTTTCGCACTCTCCACTCGCTCTGTGGAAGGCTTGTGTGCTCCGGAGGAGGTGGCAGTTTCCACGAAGGTGGGCCGCAGCTTGGCATGGCGCTTGGCTGTGGGTCAAACGCGGTGGTATGGGTATGGGTCAAAATTACACCACCATAGGGGACCGCAGGTTTTTTTGTCCTTGGTTCCATTTACCAGGGTCCATTTTGGACATCTAGTTTTGGCACAGCCATATCTTCAAAACCCGGGCACGCACTTTCTCACTTTTTTTGGTCGCCTGGAGGCGAGTGCTGGAAAGCTGAGGCATCATCGTCCCGAGGCCCGAGGCCAGCAAGTATGGACATAGAGTGGAGGCCGACTACGACGAGGAGCGGCTGAAATCCCATCCTGTTCTGAGCTGCAGTCATGGATGCGCACCTAAGCGGACCACAGTTGCTCAATTTTTGGGGAGATGCAGAAGAAGAGGAAGAAGAAGAAGCAGGAGGAAGACAAAGAAGACGAAGGAGGAGGAGGAAGAAGAAGAAAATAACGTCATATGTTCAAAAAGACGAAAGATACTAATAGCAATAACCAGCAGACGGAGCAGAAGCAGAAAAGGAAGAGGAATCAGAAGAGAGGAAGACGAAGAACACAATCAAGGAGGACGAAGACAAAGACGAAGAAGAAGAAGAAGCAGAAGAAGACAAAGAGGAAGAAGAAGCAAAAGGCGCACAACGACAAAGAAGAAGAGGATTCAACACCCAATGTTGGGCGAGCAGTGAGTGGGATGCTACCGCTAAATGCTTGAAGCCGGGCCTTAACACTGATAGGTTTCAATGGGGTGTGGGGAATGTTGCTGCACGGTTTCTTTTGCAGGGTTGCAGCAGTTTTTGGCCATGTTGCAAAACTGTCAAGGGGCCAAGGGGACTTGATTTGGTGAGCCCGGCATGTGCCAATCGCAGCAAACCAGAAGCATGGTGAACCTGGTTTCTAAAATGGGCGGTCGAGCAAAAAGCGACCTCTTGGGCTTCCTCAGGGAGAAAACAAACACTTTCCATAATTTTTTGTCTTGTCTTGCGCATGGGCGCCGCTCGTAGGGTCGGAGTTTGCCTTCTGCGCCCTTTTGCAGACACGAGGGCCCACGCCCTTTGAACTGGCCTCAACTTAAAAAATGCCGACACGTTTACCCATTTGGGCCAAACAACTCGAGTAACTCATATGGCATATTAGTTAGTCGCTTTCTTTGACCTCCATTGGGTCAACGGCCCACAGGAAACCAGATCTGCGGCCATGGGAGGCCTTCCCGACGCAGAAGTATCACAACAACGTGGTCGTCTGGGATTACCGAAAGGAGTGCGGACGGGAAGGGGTGTTTCTCAAGGGAATTCGGTCTATATAGGGTGGTTGAACAAGTTGGGAGCATTGTCCTAAAACAAAGATTTCCTTCTGGTCAGCTTTTTGGCAGCACCTACACTTCAGGGGGTCCAGAACAACAAACTCTGCCTCCCCACAAGAACCCCGTGACACACACAAATTGTTGCTTGCCATGCTGCATTCCTTGATTGGGATTTAGCAAAACTGCCCCCACCTGTTGGATGAATGCGCCGGATCTTTGCCGGGACGGGTTGGAATGAAACCGGCAGCGAAAACCACGAGTTGGGAGATGGGGAGGGATCCTGAGCTCGCTTTGACCATCAGGGCAGGGGCGCCTATATGTTCCCTGCTGTTGAGTAGCTCAACCATACCATTGACGTGCAGTGAGTTCACCACAGCCACGGACACTCAGCCAATCATAGGCTTGGGGCGCCCTGAGAGGTTCTGGGGCTGATGGGCTTCTTGTGTGTGTGTTGTTTTTGTGTTGTTGTTGGGGGGGGGGGGCGAATGATGTTGATGCATCAGAGGGGGCTATATGAACCGAGTTGAGCTCGATGTTTCGATCCTGCCCCCGCCTAGTGGATGTGAAGATTAGGCGAGCCAAAATGCTCCAAACCAAATTGTGGTGACTGCCAGTTGCCAGTTCTACGCAATACTTGGGGGCCGGGCACAGCCAATCGCCCGCAAGCGCTAAAGGTGACGTCTTTCGAGGGCGAACGGGTTTCTCAAAATGATGGCCGCCTTTGGTATTTTGAAGGCCCAAAAAAACACCAACCTGCTTAACAGCCTGTTTTGAGAGACATCCTTGGACTGTCTTGTGGTTGCCATTGGAAGGGCCAAAAACTAAGCCCCCTACGGGTTGAGGGGGGGTTCCCTTCCGAGCGAGGAGGGCGTCGAGGAGGCGCTGCGGCAGTGCCAGCGGCGCTTGCAGCGCAGCTCGTGCTCCCACTTGGGTTGGGTTGGTTGGTTGGCTCCCTTGGAACCACCAGAATTGGCTCCAAGTTTGACCAACATCCCTGCCCGGTTGGTTGGTTGGTTGGTTGGTTGGTTGCTTGCTTGCTTGCTTGCTTGGTTGGTTGGTTGGTTGGTTGGTTGGTTGGTTGGTTGGGTCCAAGTTTGAGGTGCAAAAACAAAAGCTGGGCCAGGGTTCTGACGGCTCGGGTGGATTTTTGTTTTTCAATCAGCGACGCCGGAGTTTGGGTATATGTTGCTCGTAACTTGTGCGCTCGGTGCTTTTTTGTTGTTGGTGCTGTTGTGGAGTTGTTGGTGCTTCTTCATGTTTGCCTCATTTCTTGTCTCGCTTTGACACATTCATTAACAATGCCCATGGCGGGCTTTCCACCCATCGTCCGAGCTCCCAATACCGCCTCAGGAAGGCGCACGCGGCATAAAAGGTGGCATAGTTGAGAACATTGCCTTCCCTATGGAGCTTAGCTTAGTTTGTTAGTGCCCGCAACATCATCCTATTGATTTTGAGCCCTTAGCTCAAGTCACCTGAATGGTTTGGGAATTTGGAAGCCCCGGGGTCCTGCAGAGGGCAAACAGGAAACCAGGTTCGCAACACCTCCACCAGAACCACCAGCTAGAGCTATTTAATCCAGCCATCAATTAGCGCATGGAATCCCAATTGTGCTCCACTCATTTAGGACATTTGTATGCCAATAGTACCTATTGTTTGGGTCTACCTGGCTGTTGAACTGTTGCTCTCTTTCTGTGTCACGCGCAAGTTGTCAGGGACCCTCATCGACTGCGTCCGGGTGCACGACGCTGAGTCGCAGGAGCGCTGGCAAGAAGCCTGCAGCGGGGGCGCCCGAGGGTATGAAGCTTAATTGGAGAAATTTGGTTGGACATGGGTATTATTTATCATGGATGTTTCAGCCAAATGAGGTGACCAAAAAGCTGGGAGGGCCCACTGGGCATTGTGAGGGCTTGGGGACTTAGTGGATGGGTTGCAGCTCGGACAAGATAGCCAGAACCAGGAGACTGCCCTTTGGCGCACCCAAAGAAACGCGCAGAAACTGTTCAAAAAGTAGGTGTACAATGCAATGCGCAGCACCGTAAACATCAACAAGGATCCAACAGATGGAACAAATCCAGCAGACATCAGAGCATGTAATGGGAAACGCATCAGCAACAGGAAGCTTTTGCATAACTTGTAGTCGATTGTTTTGTGACTAGATGGCTGCAGGTTTCAGCCGGAAAGCGATTGGAAAACAGGGATGCTTCGTTGGCTTCGAGCGCTGAGCATGCTGGATCCTTCAAGGTCAGCCACGCCAGTCTCATCTGCATCCATGCCAGGGAACCCCCAAACGTAGCGTCACATGGCAGTCGGCAAGGCCCCTTCAAAGGGCAACTTGCTGGTCGGATGGCTCCGGGTCACTGTTGGTTTCTGTGTCTCTGGTCCACTTCGGTCCCTAATTTGCGGGTGGAAGCTCAGTCAAAGCGGCCGTTGCCAAGCCCATGTTCGCACACACTTGGAACAACTTTGACGCGTGACGCAGTCTCCCCCTCCCTTGGCACAACCTTTTGATTCCCCTTCGGTAGGCCGGGTACTTTGAGCCCATTTTGCCAAGCGAGGCCAGGGCGGCGCTGTTGACACCTTGGTGTCCATGCGTCGGGCAGGCCTGGAGGGTGGTGGAGAGGGTTTTGGCGTTGTTTCTTGGGTGGTGTGTGTGTGTGTGTGTGGGTGGCTGTGTGTGTCTTTTTTTGGGTGCGGACACCCCAAAATATTGAAAGTACGCAGCCATCCACAACCCCAAAGCCGTCGCAAATCAGGGCAAAATTGACTTGCTTGCAATATCTCGGGTGTCTTTGTCAAGGAGGCGGTTCCAAACCGAACGCGGTTTGCCCAGGGGCCATCGGGCAAGTCAGCCTTGGCGGCTTGGCTACGCAGTGCTAGGGGCCAACTCTAGGCCAACGCGGAGGGGTTTGAGAACAGTTGAGCTTTCTCGTGTCCTGACAGCGGACAGGAGAAATACCGGCCCTCCTTTGGTTTGCCAAGAGAAAGCCTTGCAAAGTTGGGTCAGCCAAATTTGATGGGTCATAGAAAAGCAGCCCTGTCCCGGCTTAGGCTTCAATAGCATGGAGTTTCTCCTGCACCTTGGCACGGGTTTATGTCTGCTTTTCCTTTTTCTCTTGAGTATGAGGGTCATTCAGATTCAAGGCTACCACGTCACGGCGGCTGCAAGTCAGTCTTTGGGCTGAGATTTGTCACTGTTGTAGGGATCCGAGTCTTTTCACCGGGTGCTCTGCGCATAATTAATGCCTTTTCTTGCCAGGAAGCCAAAAAGGAGGGTGGCCTTTTTCCAGACCCTCAATTTAGCACCCAGTTCAGACATGTCCCAACATCTCCCAAACCAGCAGAATCAACCCTCAGAGCAGTGCCTGGATGCAGTGGGTCGCCTTCACAGTGGGTTTGTTAACGTTTGGCTCCCGTCAAACCTCATTAGTTGAGGAGCAGGGCGCGCTAGCTGTCTGGGGCTTACGATTTCAGGGTCAGGCAGGCAGGCAAAGGGTGGAATTTGATTCAACAATGCGCACGAGCCATTTCAGGATTTGACTGTTCGAATATGAGCCCCTATTTGCCTGCACCTCATTGGGTTCGCGTGCTCCGTTTGTAAGGGCTTAGCCAGCCGGCTGCAAGCTTTCCTGACGACGCCAGTTGGAGTAGTGTGTGTCAAGCTGGATCTATGGGTTTGTGTGGCCCAAGCTTTAAGGTTTACCAGGGGAGACGGCATATACATGGAGACGGCAAGACGCCAGTAAGGAAAAGCGTCAAGGCCTTCCCCGTAGGCACCTTCGATCCCCAGCTGCACTGGCTTTGAGGTTTGTGCTTCTGTTCTCCTGTTTGCTTACTTGTTTGTTTGTTGGCCTGCTTGCTTGCTTTGCTTTGCTTTGCTTTGCTTAGCTTAACTTTGCTTTGCTTTGCTTTGCTTTGCTTGCTTAGCTTTGCTTGGCTTTGCTTTGCTTAGCTTTGCTTCGCTTCGCTTTGCTTCGCTTTGCTTCGCTTTGCTTGCTTTGCTTTGCATTGCTTGCTTGCATGCTTTGCTTTGCTTTGCTTTGCTTCGCTTCGCTTTGCTTTGCTTCGCTTCGCTTCGCTTCGCTTTGCTTGCTTGCTTGCATGCATGTTTTGCATTGCTTTGCTTTGCTTTGTTTTGTTTTGCATTGCATTGCTTGCTTGCTTGCTCGCTCGCTTCTGGCCGGCTGGCTGGCTGGCTGGCTGGCTGGCTGGCTGGCTGGCTGGCTGGCTGGCTGGCTGGCTGGCTGCCTGGTTGGTTGGTTGGTTGGTTGGTTGGTTGGTTGGTTGGTTGGTTGGTTGGTTGGTTGTTGGTTTGTTGGTTTGTTGATTCATTGGGTCTTGCGGGCCACGGGCTCGCCGTTGGTTGGTTTTGACGGTGTTTTTTGCCTTGTTTTGTTTTGTTTTGTTCGTTTGTTTTCTTGTTCTTCCTTTGTTTGCCTGTCTGCCTGCCTGCCTGCCTGCCTGGCTGTTTGCCTGTTTGCCTGCCTGTGTCTGTCTGCCCTGTCTGTCCTGTCCTGTCCCGTCCTCTGCCCGTGCCGTCCCGCTCCTCCGTCCGTCCGTCCGTCCGTCTGTCTGTCTGTCCGTCCGTCTGTCTGTCTGTCTGTCTGTCTGTCTGTCTGTCTGTCTGTCTGTCTGTCTGTCTGTCTGTCTGTCTGTTTTTGTCTTTTTCTTTTTTTTTGCTGTCTGTCTTGTTTGTCTTGTTTGCTTGGTTGGTTGGTTGGTTTTGTTTGTTTCTTTGCTTGTTTGGGCGGCGTTCTTTTTACAATTGAAGTCGCTACAGGCTGCACTCCTTTGAACGTTCGGGGGGCTTTTGCAGAAATAAAGTGTCTCATTGTGCTTGTACGGGTGGGGTGACGTCGGGATGTCTATTTGCCTTCAAGTCCGATGGTCACCGTCAAGGGGACGTGTGTGTGTGTGTGTGTGTGTGTGTGTGTGTGTGTGTGTGTGTGTGTGTGTGTGTGTGTGTGTGTGTGTGTGTGTGTGTGTGTGTGTGTGTTTGTCCGCAATTCTCATTAGCCACTATGAGGTCCATCATTTGGGATTCCAGGGGTGGCTTGGAGTCATCTTGCCTCGTTCCTTGTCTGCCCCTCGAACAAACGTGTTGACAGGCGGCCCTTGCAGAGGATGATGAACGCTTTGGGACACACGCAACACAAAGGGTGACCCAAAAAGAGGTCACGGCCAATGTCAGCTTCGGACTCCTCTGCCACCATGCTGCTTAAGAAGGAATTCCCTGAACCGCTGCAGCTTTTCATCCGGAGTTTGTCAATCAGACATGGGCATTAGTGGTTTGGGGGGGAGAATCCAGAGCACGATCTTGCTGCCTGTCTACTGAAACATCCCCCGTTTCAATGGCCCAGCGATGCAAGGCAGTACCGAGTGTCACCAAAGAAAGCCTTCTGAGGTTTTCCTCTGGAGTTGTTTGGCGCATCACTTTAAATGTTGGTTTGGATTGGGGATTTTTGTAGGAGGTGAATGGAAAACGCACCCTAGCCTCCAAGTTATCAAGCCAAACCACCAAATCAAGGGAAGCAGAATAGTTTCACTATGGAAAACCTTCTGGGCCCTCGGAGAGGACTTTATATTTTTAGGTCGGCCAAGGAAGCAGAATCTGAACGTTTTTTGTGTGCCTCAGATTAGGGCCAAGGACCTAAGAGAATCTCATTGCTTTTGTTGTTGTCAGGGTTCCGAAATCAAAGTCACCCTGAAGAAGGCAACCCCCGGGGCAAAGAATCCGAAGGACAACATCATGGTGGCCCGGACCTGGAATTTATTGGATCAGTCTGCCTACCCGCTGCTGCTGGAGTGCCAGAACCGAGGCGGGGATGGCAACATAGGGGTTTCGGTCGGATGGAGCCCGAGGTGGAAGGGTTCTGCTTGGATTGAGCCGCTCAAGTTTCCTCCCAGAAAGGAGATTCCTTGGGCTCCGTTGCGGTTTGCCTTTGAAATTCAAGCATCTCAAGGGTCTCGATCTTCTGGATGTGGCTTGTGTCGGAAGCAGCCCAAATTGCGCCAGGGACACGCAGAAAGAATAAAAGCCGGGTAAACATCATTAGTTTCATAATAGGTCCTCAGGGCAAAAAGCAACCCTGCCAAGTTGGGGGGGCGGGGTTGAGGTTGCTCCGTCCCATGTAGCCATTTGCGCGGCTACATGTGGGCATGTCTGAGGCACATGTTTCTTCCTTTTTTTTGGGGTGCGGGGGGTGGGTACTTGGAGACCTAGAGGAAAACGGATGACATTTCGGGGGTCCCCTGGCCGGGCTCAGTGCAGGGATCAGGGTGCACATCGCGGCGCCCTTCTGTGCTGGGCTCCTTTGGGGCCAGAGCCTCTTCATGTACAGCAGCGCCTTGGCCGACTTAACATGGCGGCCAAAACGCCAACCTAACAACCCATTTCTTTGCATAGGGCCCCGAGCCTTTTTTCTCCTAGGTTTGGCGGGCCGGGTCGTGGGCTGGTCCCCGGTCGTCGGTCGCTCGGTTGGTGGGTGTTTTTTTTGGCTTTCCACATCCTTCGCATCATCAGCAACCCTCATAGCCAGCACTAAACATCACTAAACAATCCCGAACCACCAAAACTCAACCTTGAATAAGCCCAAAGCAAACCCTACACCAACCACAACCCCACCCGAAACCAACCCTCAACCAGCCCGAGACCCACACCACACCAGCATTAAAGCATTCCCAAGCCAGCTTAAAGCTAACCAACCCTAAACCTTTCCTATACAAACTCTATGCCCAGCTAAACCAACCGTAAACCCACCCTAAAGAAACCCAAGCCCCACCCAAACCCAGACTAAACCAAAGTGTCAATGCCGGGGGTTGACGGTGCTGGCATAAAACAGGTGCATGTTGTTGGCAAATGGCTGTAACATGCGTCACATTTATCGCCCGCCGAACCTAGGAAAAACGGCCCGCCGAACCTAGGAAAATAACACGCCCCAGCCTTATCCCCCATCCAAAGCACTAAACCCAGCCTAAACCTGCCCTAAAGAAATCCTGAATCCACCCTAGGTTTACCCCAACCTCAACCCCACCCTAGCCTCACCTTAAACCAATCCTAAACCAGAACTATCCCACCCCATCCTTAGCCCGCTCTAAACAACCCCCTAAACCGACTGTAAACCCTACCCTGAACAAACCCGAAAGAAACCCTACCCACCCTAAATCCATAGCCTGCTGGTGATACAACGGGTGTGCAGAAGGATGACAGGGGTGTTAACACGATGCTGGTGATGTTGATGCTAGTGGAAATGCGCGCAATTTTGCTAGACATGTTGTATGCACCTCCAAGCTTCTTATGAAGCATCGCAGGTACCAGCAATCAGGGATGAGGAATGCTGCGGGAACCTGGAAGCAACGTGGGTCACCACAATGAATCGTACGGCGTACTCGTTTTCACGGATGCATCCTCGTAGTCATGAATGCTAGCCACGCTGGTATTGGGTTCAACTCCTTGCTTTAGCAATTCAGGGGCTGGGACGGCTTCAGAGACTGACATGTTCAACCCCCCCCGACCCCCAAAGGGATCGATTGCCCCTACCAGTACATGCCCGCAGCCTCGTCTACATGTTTGATGGCCATAAAGTATTGCTATGCTTCATCTCGTGGCAACCACTGGGTCGCACATGTCGTTGTTGGGTTGGTTGCTTTCGTGCACCTGCCTGTCAAGTCAGCAGAGAATGGCCAACATTGAGTGAGTTTAACTCGTTATTTTCCATGGGCGAGCAAAACCCGATTCATGCAGAAACGCAACTCCGATCTTGAGAAGGCTCTTGCGAGCTGATTGGGACCCTCTAGCAGGCAGGCCAGTCACAGCCTTGGACCATTCGGAAGCCACACCGTTGGGGTATCGCTTTCAGGTTACCAATTGATTTGGTTGAGGGTTGGGCGGGAAACCTCCGAAATCCAAACCTCGAGGCACGGTGCCGGTAGAGGCCACTGAGAAGGCCGACCGCGTTTCCGGAGAGTCGGCATGCCTTTTTTCGGGGGCTTCTTGTTCGTGGGTTTGAAAGCGAAAGGATACCAGATCCATTTTGGGGATTTGATCCAATTTGAGAGTTGAACATAGACGGTGCTGGCTCAAGTCCCGGAAGGGCGAAGCAGGCGGGCGGAAGTTTCAAACATGTAAGAATTTCAGTTTTTGTTTCTGTTCTTTCCTTCTTGCTTTTTCCCTTTCTCTTTGTTTCTTTTCTCTCTCTCTCTCTCTCTTTTCTCTTCCTTCATTTGTTCTTTCTCTTGTTCTTCCTCTTTCCTGTCGTTTTTTAAATGTATCTTGCTCTTGTTTCCATGTTTCCATCTATCCATCTATCCATCCATCCATCCATCTACCTATCTATTTGTTTGATCTATGTATCTAATCTACGATCTACCCATCTAATCTAATTAAACCTAGCCTAATCTAATCTAATCGAATCTAATCCAATGTATCTATCTGTCTGTCTATCTACCTAGCCGTTTGTCTGCTTATCAGTCTATCTGTCTATCTGCATATCTGCCTATCTGTCTATCTATCTATCTATCTATCTATCTATCTATCTATCTATCTATTTATCTATCTTAATCAATCAATCCACTCCACTCCACTCCACTCCACTCCACTCCACTGCACTGCACTGCACTGCACTGCACTGCACTCCACTCCACTCCACTCCACTCCACTCCACTCCACTCCACTCCACTCCACTCCACTCCACTCCACTCTGCAGATTTCGTTACAGGCTCAACTTTCGCGAGGTCATCTGCGGATTTTGTGGCAGGGGCAGCACTTTCACAAGGTCAGGCATAGATTTCGTGGCAAGCGAAGCACTGTCGCAAGTTCAAATGTTGATGCTGTGGCAGGCGCAGCGCCTGCTAAGGTAGATAAGTAAATAGATAGATGGATAGATAGATTAGGTAGATAGATTGACAGTTAGATTGATTGATTGATTGATTGATTGATTGATTGATTGATTGATTGATTGATTGATTGATTGAGTGATTGGTTGATTGATTGGTGGATGGATGGATGGATAGAGAGAACTGCATCAGATAGGATAAAACAGATAGAGAAACATGAGAGATGGACCAAGTAGATTATATAGATAGCAGACAAATGGACAGACAGAGACAGATTAGATAGACTAGACAGACTGGATAGATGGATGGATAGACGGATAAATGGATAGATGAATAGATGGATAGATGGATAGATGGATAGATAGAATGACAGGTTAATTAGATAGATAAGATGAGCTAGATTACATAGGCTAGATAGATCGACAAATAGATAGATAGATAGATAGATAGATAGATTAGATTAGATTAGATTAGATTGGATTGGATTGGATTCGATTCGATTCGATTAGATTAGATTTGATTTAATTTGATTGGATTGGATTGGATTGGGGTGGAGTGGAGTGGAGTGGAGTGGAGTGGAGTGACTCGCCTGCCAGGGAACTGGCACCTAACTTGCGAAAGTGCTTGCGCCTGCCACGAAATGTTTGCCGCGCTTTGCAAAAGTGCTGCGCCACGAAATCCGTACCTCACCTTGCGAAAGTGCTGCGCCTGCCACGCAAACCAATGGCTCGCATTGCGTGCGCGTCCGTGCCAATTGGCCTGGGTCTGAGACTTCTCGGGACTGGTCCGAACGCGCTCCAGCCAGGCGTCGCAATCAGGCTAACTTCCGAGCACCCTAAAGCAAAGAAACTCGCAGAGGGTTGCACGTGTTTCACAATTCTTTTCCCCCGCGCACGTGCACTTTTCTCACAGGGGCTCGTTGTTCTCTTGTCATTTGTCTCCGGGAGCTAGCTTTCCATTAGTTCCAGTACCCTTTTAAACTTTTCTTGGCGATCGTGTTTGTCTTGGCCAACATGGCAACTAGTGGCATCTGCCTTTTAGGGCGGATGGGTCATTTTTTGGAGGCAGGCTTCCATCAAAGTGCTCCTACCCCTCCACTGAGCAGGTTGGAAGACCAAGCTTCAGGTTGCGCTGATTGGCTTTCTTTGCCTGCCTCACAGCGCAACTTCCGAAGATTTCTGTGGCGCAGGTGTGCCCAAAAAGTGGACCAAGGCTTCAGCTACATCGGCTTGGATGAAGCTCGTGTCGTATGGGTGGTTTTCCGTGGCCTTACAGGTTTTCCGGCGTACCGCCGCCAGGCACACAGGCCCTGAGCCCACCGTGCAGCATTGGATTGGTTATGCCTCGAGTGGGTTCCCTCCGCAAGCAAAATGATCCAACTCCTCCCCCTGTTTGTCAATCGAAATGTTCACCAACCGCTCTCATCATGTATACACATGTGCTTACATGTTAATTGGTCTGACTACAGAGAGGTTCTTCCTGTATTTGCGTATACGTTTGCGTTAAACGCATCATGTGTGAAGATGGGGAGGAGGACATGGCTGAGGTTCTGATACCGAAAGTTAAACATCATGCTGGGGCGTGCGCCAGCACCAAGTTGGCGCTCGCAGGCGAAGCGGTGGCAGGACCTGGGCAGCAGCTACGGACTGTCGCTGCCGCAGCTGGCGCTGGCCTTTGCATTCCTTCCTGCCTGCGTGGAGAGGAGCCCCACGCCATTCATCGGTGGTTTTGAGGATGTTATAGCCCTCCAACTCAATGGGGGTTTCTTTCGGATTCAAAAGAAATCAAGGCAAACCTGTGGTTTTGAGATTGTCCCTTTGGTTTCCCACCATTTCGAATACTCCATCGGGGGTTGGCTTTTTTGGAGTTGCCCAATCAAAAAGGTGGTGTAGCGAGGGAAATCAAGGAACACGATTTTGGTGTAAACAAAGCAAGCAACCCAAGCCCTCCCACCAACCGAACAAGCCAAGCAGAACTGTGGTTGGTGGCAGACAAACATTTTCCACCGATGTTCCTACCCAACAAACAACACACAGCAGAGTCATTTCTGGATGCAGTTGTTGCTTTTAATTTGGACCAGGCTCGAGTCAAGCTGCTGTGCTTCCTGGCTTTGTTCATTCGGATTTTGGGTGTCTTGTGTTTATCTGTGAAACATCTACCAGAAGCACAGCGGGACTCTAAATCACTGAGGCGGAGGCGCGGGGGGATGAAACAGATGGTGTTGACTCATGCGAGTGCCGAAGAGCCAGACAGCAGGCCTCAAAATCGCCGAGAGGGACTCACCACGAGCGCCGTCCCACATGGGTGAAAGTACTCCTGCCTAAGTGATTTTGGGAGCCTGACCTAGTGGTTTCGCCCTCGAGGATAGCTATTGGCTGCGCCTCTCCGGAGCAGGTGCGCAGCAACGTTGGGTTTCTCGGCGAGCGGGGGAGGGGTTTGTGGTTTTGGAGCTTGGGATGGCTCATGAGTGGTCCTTTCTTTCAAAGGCTTGGCGGGGGGGGGTCGGCCAAGCGGTGACCTCAGCCGGACCGCGGGAATGGTGTCTGAGGCTTTGCGGCGTCAAAGTTCCAGCGGAGCTGTGGCAAAGAGCGAAGGCTGAGGGCCTCTTGCCCGCGAGCATGGAGATCTCCTAGGACCGCTTGGGGCGGGTGAAGGGCAGCCCGGGGCCCATCAGGCGAACGTGCGTTGGCCTTTGGAATTGGTGAGCTCGTTCGGGGAAGGCGCTGTGTAGGCGGGCTGCTTTCTGGGATCTGGTCAGGGAGCTTGGCTGCAGCTCCCAGCCATCCATGCAGAAGCCTCGTAACCCAAGTGTCAATTTTGCTTCCGGGCGCCCCTTAGTAAAGTGTCAAGGGTTCCACTTGCAACACGCCGAGAAGCTGAGAGCCTTTGCCCTTTGTGCCAGTGTCGACTAGCAACCTACATTGCCAAGCCAACCTTCCGCCCACAACACCCAAACAGAGGCTTGCCCCTTGCACCGCTATCGGCGAGGACGGAGCTGGTGGCTGCGTCGTTTGGATGCGAGCGCCGGTGACCGTTTTGTGCGCCGTGGTCATGCCCTTTTGCCTGGGGATGGCCATTAAACCCTCAAAGAGTTGTTCAGCTTTGATTTTACACAAGCAATGTGAGGCGTCCCGTTCAGAAAGCCATGGCCATAGCCCACATGAGGAGTTTTGACGTGGCAAAAGCGCGAGGGAAGGGAGGGATTTGCGGCTCCCCCGAAGCACCCCGCTTTCAGCGGCCCCTGAAAGTCTCAATGCAGCAGACTTTGACGAGTCCCGAGCATATACCAATCCAGTATTGCACATCAACTTGCCGGGAAAAAAAACTACACGGTAAGCTATCCTGATAAATCCTTACCCTCTTTGCGAGAAGGCGACCACGGACGCATCGCCACGCAGATTTGTGGTGCTCCCCAACCCTCCAGACAACTTACAAGATAAGGCATTTGAACTGTTCTTTCGCTGGACGGACCCCTGCTTCAAGAAGGTGCCTGACTTGTCATTTTGAAATAAGCAGGTGTTTGACCAAGCCGGTTCTTTTCAACGGGGGCGGTTTTACCAACGCTGCCAGGCGTTGCCAGGCAGTCCCGCCGCGGTTCAGCCATGAAAGGCCCATAGCGCAATCGGGGGACGGGCCGGGAGCGACTGTCGCTCGCGATGGGGGACTACTTCCTAGATGTGGTGCTGCAGAAGAGCAGCGCGGAGCTCTTCAAGGAGCTCTACAGGCTGTATCCCCTGGCCTCTCAGCGCGAAATTTGAAACCGCGGAGTCTGTTTTTAAGGGGGTTGGCCCATAATGGGACGCACATGGCATGTTTCTGACCCCGGACAAAAGGAGGCACGTGTCAAAAACTGGTGGCAGGGTGCTGGGCAGGTGATGTGCGTCCAGACTTTTCGAGAAGTAGCGGCATGATTTTAGTGGAGGACATGTTGCCAATGGCGTGTGTAAGCCATGATGCCCCCCCCCCCGGCATGACGCAACGAGGCTATTGTTGCGCAGGAGACAGGCAGCTTTTTCTTGTTCTTTGGCTATTGACGTTTTGGAACACTAATACTGTCGTTTCCCACCAACCTCGCTAAGGCCAGTTTTAGGCAGCTCAGTTGCCGAGGCAGAGGTGGAGGATTACTTCAAGGCTGGGCGCTGGCAGACTGAAGTCATGAGGATGGACATCCAGGCAGGGCTTTTTTGCGAAGCTTGCTCTGGCTGCCCTTTGTTTGAATAGTTGCATGTCGAGTGGCCAGGTTCTTTTGACCGTCAGCAGCTTTGTGGGTTCACGAGACCTTTTGGATGCAACGGGAGGGCGAGAGCCTTGGGAACAGGGGTAGAAGTCGGGGCTCCTCACGGGTAAGGCACCCTCTCCGAGGTTCGTGAGGAACCCGTGGCGTACCTCCCCCGCAGAAAGCCACCCTTGGCCCGGCATTTTCCAGCGAGCCTTACTTTCAGGGCACTGTTTTCCGGTGTGTCTGCGTGTGAGAAGGCAAAGGGACCTCACCCAACTTAGTGCTTCTCAAAAAGGAGGAATGGTTTCCTTTTGGATAAAAAGGCGGGGGTCCAACTTCCTCTGTTGAGAACCCTCCCCCCGCCAAATTACGGCTCCAGCCGGGTTTTGTCTCCTAGTTTCAGCCCCCCCCCCCCCCAAGAAATTTGGTTTCCTTTTGGTTTCCTCACCCACTCCCCAAGCACGGCGTTGCCTCCAACCGGCCAAGGAGGGTTCGGTTTTCAGCTTTTCTTCCCCCCAACCCCGACCCGGACGGACCGCCCGCTCGGCGCGGCGAGGCCTTCCACGCCCACCGGGAGGAGGCGGGCGCCCCGGAGCCCCTGGCGCTCGAAGAGCTGAAGCTGCCGCCTCTGCCCGCCGAGCGCCTGGGACGAAACGGGTCGGTTTTCTCGGCGCTCGGACGGGGGGGGGGGGGGGCCTTTTTTGGGAGGCGAGCCTCCCTGCCCCTCACAAAAAAAAAAACAAACAAGAAGCAAGAAGATGGCCGGGTTTTTTGCTCTTGACGTGTCACCTTGAAAAAATCACCTGACAAGGGAGACCCTCACTCACTGAGTGTATGGACTTTTAGGCTTTTTGGGTGGCAAACAGTTCGGATGCTTTTTTAGGGCACACTCTGGAAGTGGTGGACTCCCCCAAACAATCAACATGGCACTCCAAAGGGGGGTCCAATTCCTAAAAGGAGTTTGTTCGGTTCCATGTTGATTTGTAGGGACATTTGTTGACGCTGTTCCTGTCCTAATAGGGGTGTGTTCCCTCCAAAAGTGAAAAGTGGTCTGAGTCCCCAGTCAACCACCAGGGTTTATTAATCTGGGGACGCGAAATGGTGGACGTCGTTTAGGAATGTATGTCCGCCAGCCACCTTTGAGGGGGTTCCCCAAATAGTATGCGGTTTCCTTTTTGTTTCCCGTGAGGAGTCCCAAAATGAGTGTCCCCCATTTTTTCCGCCATGAAAGTGCTTGAGCAAAATTACTCCTCTCACTAGCATGGAGCGCGAGGGGTCCTGGAAGATAACGTTGGCCCTCTGGTGGTATCCAAATATTTTTTCGATTGATCATTTTGCAAAGACTCTTTAAACCCACCGAGCGGAAGTGTCAGGATGTCACATGAACCCAGTTCTGGGATCTCTCTTGGAACTGTTCGCCTGGTTCACTCAGCACCAAAAGCTAGCACGTCACTCGAGTGGACCCATCCCAAAAAAAACCCGCAAAAGACAGCTATAAAAGCTGCGAAGGTAGTTGCAAGATGCGATTTCACGGCTACAGGTCGAAAGTCGCTGCTTTTAAGTACGAAAGCCGGCTATGGGTTGATTTAGAGTGGGTTTTAAGGCTGGTCTAGGGTGGGCGTTTAGGGTGGGTTTGGGATGGGTCTAAGTTTGGTGTAGGAGTTTTGGTGTGCAAAGCGTGTTTTTGCGACCCGACTGTGACACATAGCTGCCAAAAGGCTTTTCAGGCATGCAGATACGACATCGCCCTCTCGCTAGTCGCAACGCTTTTGACTTGTTACTTCGTGCGCTTCTGAGCTCAATGAGCCCAACAAGGAAGACTTTGTTTGCATAGCGCATTCTGCATAGCAACCAATCTAAGTTCGCCAAGGACCATCATACCAAACAGGCGGATAGTGCCGGCTTTGGCAGCGAAATTTGAAATCACATGGGTTGTGACGCTGATCATTCTCGCTTGTTTGCATTTTCACATGGGCTAACCCTGCGTGGCCGGGTCGCAGTGTGCATCCACAAGCATATACGGTTGATATTATCATGATCACCTGTGGGCGCTCTCTCTCTCTCTCTCTCTCTCTCTCTCTCTCTCTCTCTGATCTTTTCTTATCAAACGGGCATGCTTGTGCGGCAGACGGTGCGAACTCATAATCTGTCCATAGCGCAAGCGTGTACAAATACCCACGTGAGTGGCGGTTGTCTGTCCTGCTCAAGACAAATGTTGAGTAGTGGGCATGTGAGCGGAAAACGTTGACCGCGCTGCAGCCACGGAAGCTTCGCGGAAGGTTTGCAGAAGGTTTTGTTCCCGCAGAAGCTCGCGTGGTTAACTTGCATTGCTTTTTTTCAGAATGACATTATGCAGTTGCGATTGCTTTGATGAGGGCATGAACAATGCACAGAGAGGTGCTAGCAGCGCATAGTGGTTTGATCTTGCTTGGGGTGCCAAGCACGGTGCGTTTACCAGCACATCATGCGCACGAATTTCCTTGCGGGAGCTGCATTCTTCAATTTCCAGAAGCAACTTGCCCGTGGAAGGCCCGCGGAAGCGCTTTTTACCCTTGACAGGACGGAAGCTTCGCGGGAAGGTTTCGCAGCATACGTCCATTCATTTTTTAAAGGAAACGAAACCACGACTCGCATGTGCTCACATGTCTGTCTTTGTGTCTGCCTTCCTGTCTGACTGTGGTTGTCTCTGTTTGTCTCCGTTTGTTTCTGTAAGTCTTTGTCTTGCTCTATCTGTTTTTGTCTATCTTTGTTTGACTGTCCATGTCTCGGTCTCTGTGTCTTTTTGTCTCTGCCTGCTTCTCTCTCTCTCTCTCTGTCTTTGCCTGTCTCTCTTTGTCGGTCTTTGTCTTCGTCTCTGTCTCCGGACCTTGTGTGGGCTGGGGCGTTTGCGCTCTCGTTTTGAATCTCATTGTGGCCTCGTGGACACTGGCCGTTTTTTGCGCACAGCGAACCGCGAGTTGGATGGTTCTGGCTGTGCCGTGCGAGCGCCGGGCCAAAGCCCTGCATTGGTCGCCCGTGTCGGGTCGTGCATGGGAATTTGGGTTGTGCCGGGCCAAGCTTTGCGATCGCCAGTGTTGGATTGCTCTGCCTTAGCGCTGTACAAATCTGCCTGGACCAATTGTTTGCCATCAAACCTAAACGGCTGGTTAGGCAATGTGTCATCGACAGGATTCGACTGCGGGGTGTCGCGTCGTCGAATGCGTCGCGTCGTCAAAGGCCAATGCGTCGTCAGGAAGTAATGCATTGTCAGGAAGTACTGCGTTGTCAGGAAATGTGTCGTCAAAATGCGATGTCAGAGGCCGATGCATCGTCAGGAGGTAATGCGCCGTCAGGGAACGCCTCGTCGCAATGCGTTGCCAGTCTTGAGTCATCAGGAGTTAGGGAACGTGTCTTCAGAATGCCCGTCAGGGAGCA